AAAAAAAAAAAAAAGAACTTAGGAGGAGTAACTATTATCACTTAACTTAAAATTCATGTTAAATCATTATTTTGAAGAAAAAGTCTAGATATATTAAATATTGCACAAAACATATGAATTTTAAAAATTAAGGTAAAATAGCATTTTACCTGGGTCTGTATTTGTACTTGCATCCTGACATTCTACAGCTTTCTTTCTCACAGAGGCCATAAAGTGCAATCCAGCTGAAGTATTAATATCCTCTTGTAGCATTTCTTAAACATAACAACAAAACATTCAAAGCAATCACTGAGAAGCCAACATATTACCTGGAGTCCAATAGCAGAGCACCTAACTCAAGGGAAATAAGGCATGGGGTGCCAAGATGTTATCAAAATGGACTTTCTGAATGAGGTGCTGTCTATGTTAACTCTCAAAGGCAGCTCAGTGAAATCAAAACCAAAATTGTGGAGGATTCTGTATGTCCAACCTAGAAACCTAAATGTTCTTCTGGCTGATGAAGATCCAGTAGAAAATGTTAAACAAGAAAATGATATGGTCAGATTGATGTTCAAGAAAAACCACCCCAGCCAGTATATGGAATGCATTCAAGTGGCTCCAGACAGATGAGGCTGCTGTACCAGTTCAGATCAGAACTTCAGTAATGGTGAAAAATGGAGGAGAGATGATAAATTTACAAATTTCAGTGGAAGTAAAACAGACAAGACCTGGTTATTGTCTAGATGAGAAGGTGGGAGAAGGCAGAATTCAGATAACCTATGTTTTGGTGTTGAGTTGGTGGTGACACCAGTGGGGATGGAGAATGAAAGAACAAAGCAGCTGTTGGGGAATAGACAACAAATTCGGACTGCACATGCTGCACTTGAGGTAATTTCCACTTAGGTGGAAAAGTTTAGCCGCAAGTAGAATCCAAGTCCAAAGTCTATTATGGGAGTTTGGGTTTAGATGTGAATTCTCCTGGGAGACCATCCAGGACAACAAAGTAGCATAAGAGATGATCAATTATGGCACATTATAGTATAATAAAATATATATATATTTGGTCTTCATCCTTGGTTGTAAGCGCAGAGTTCCTTAAATCTTTGGAATTTCCTGAGTAAATTCCTGTCATTATTCATGTTATGACCCTTTTGATCATATCTGAATTTATGCTAATGAGGTGACTCTTGAAAGGCCCCTAGATAGCTTCAGGATAGGTGCTGGTCACCAGAGGAAAAAACCACATGGTCAGAGGGTTAGAACCATCATCAGTCTCACCCCAACCCTACCTCTGGGGAATGGAGAGCAGCTGGAGATGCAGTTCAATCACCAATGGCTAATGATGCAATCAATCATGCCTATATAATGAAACGTCAATAAAAATCCTGAAACAATGAGGTTAAGGGGGCTTCTGGGTTGATGAGCAAGGGGATGTGCTGGGTATGTGGCGTACCCAGAGAGGGTGTGGAAAGACTGTGCCCTCAACCCCCATACCTTCCTTTATGCATCTCTTCCATTTGGCTCCTCCTGAATTGTATCCCTTATAATAAAACTATAATAAGTGAAGCACTTCTCTGAATTCTGGAATCACTGTAGCAAATTAGTGAACCTGGAGGGTGAGTCATGGGAATCCCTGAATGTGTAGTTGACTGGGCAAATGTGCAGGTGTATGGGGGACCCCATTTGTAGCTGATATCTGAAGTGGTCTTTTGAGACTGAGCCATTAATCTGTGGGATCTGTGTTAACTCCAGGTTATTGTCAGAACTGAATTGGTGTCAGGGAATTGGAGAATTACTGTTGTTTGAAATGACACAATACACGTATTAAGCATATATTTACTAAAATATAATTATTAAATATATATTAAATATTATTAAATAGATAACATTACATTATATTAAATAAAAATAAAACATTTATATAAGAGTATATAACTACCTATATATGTATTTACAGATATATATGAGTGGAGATATTTAAAAAATAAACCTTGGAAGAAAACACTGGCTATCTCTAGACAGAGAAATTATGGGAGTTTTTTTTTTGGAGGGGGGAGTTTATTATTCTTCCTATTCCTGATTTATATTTTCTCCAGTGAACATGTATTACCTCCACAAAGCAAAAACACAAAACAAAACACTGTTAAGAATGAAAGAGAAAATGGTTTTAAGACAAGTGAATGGGAAAGAATACCAGATAGGTTAGGAAGCTGAGAGGTACAAGCTAAGCAGGTCAGTTAGGGAAAAAACTGCTTGGTTTAGGCATACAGAGGCTTGATGCAGGGCAGTGGCATCACGGAAGGTGGTGCCGGTGGGGGATGCCTGGGTGGCTCAGTCGGTTAAATGTCTGCCTTTGGTTCAGGTAATGATCCCAGGGTCCTGGAACGGAGACGACCCTTGACGGCTCCCTGCTCAGTGGGAACCCTGCTTCTCCCTCTCTCTCTGCCCCTCTGGCCCCCACTTCCCCACTGCTCATGCTCGCTCCCTCTCTAATAAACAAATAAAATCTTCAAAAAATAAAATAAAATTTGGACATGCTAAATCTAAGATGAAAGTAGAAAAGAATGATGAGAGAGGGTAGATGTGTATTTGAGTGTCATCAAAAAATTTAAGAGCTGAAGTCATGAGAGTGAATGTTTGTGTATGTGTGATGAAAATTACTGAGAAGAAAGTCTTGGGGAACACATACATTTGGTGGCAAGAAATCAACTGACCCACTAGAGAAAGAAAAGAATTTCCTATCTTATAAACAAGTACTCTTTCCTGAACTGATTCCTTACTGTAATGTGCATGTATTTTCTTTTTTTTTTTAAGATTTTATTTATTTATTTGAGAGAGAGATCACAAGGAGGCAGAGAGGCAGGCAGAGAGAGAGAGGGAGAAACAGGTGCCCCACCAAGCAGAGAGCCTGATGCGGAACTCGATCCCAGGACCCTGAGATCATGACATGAGCCGAAGGAAGAGGCTTAACCCACCGAGCCACCCAGGCACCCTGTGCATGTATTTCTATAAAGAATTCAACAGGCATGTTTTTCCATAATTTCCTTTTAGGCCTTATATATCAGTATCTTATTTGAGATTCTAATTAATTGTGCTGTTCTACTATAAGGATCAGCAAATTTTTTCTGTAAAAGGCCAGACAATAAAGATTTTAGGCTTTGCAGATTGTATGGTTCCTCTTGCAACAAGTGAACCCTGCTCCAGTGCAAAATCTGTCAGTAACAATGTGTAAATAAATGAGCATAGCTCTGTTTCAACAAAACTTGATTTACAAAGGGGCACCTGGGTGGCACAGTCATTGAGCCTCTGACTTGTTTTGGCTCAGGTCGTGGGCTCAGGGGTCATGAGATCAAGTACCACGTCAGGCTCCACGCTCAGAGGGCAGTTGGCTTGAGATTCTCCCTCCTTCTCCTCCCCCACTCATGCTTATGTGCTCTCTCTCTCTTTTAAATAAATAAAACCTTAAAAAAATTTTGATTTACAGGGGTGCCTGGGTGGCTTAGGGGGTTAAGCCTCTGCCTTTGGCTCAGATCATGATCTTAGGGTCCTGGGATCGAGTCCTGCATTGGGCTCTCTGCTCAGCGGGGAGCCTGCCTCTCTGCCTACTTGTGATCTCTCTCTGTCAAATAAATAAATAAAATCTTTATAAAAATTTTTTTTGATTTACAAAAACAGGCATGGTCTGGATCTGGCCTGTGGGCCACAGTTTCAACCACTGCTCTACCAGATAACACATCAAAACACACACACACATACACACACACTCTATTTTGTTGAAGATAAAATAATTTAGCCTCATTTTTACATACATAATTCTAGAAAACTGATTTTAACTTTGAACTGAGACACTACATTAATCATGATTATACATACCAAAAGGAATATCGAAGTCATCCAAAGGCTGGGAACCAGGATGTTCTTGCTCCTAAATGAATCCCCAAATGATCATTCTATGATTGTAACTCAAAGACAATCATTACTTTGAAAAAAAAAATTAAATAGCTAAGAGGATTGTCGAAAGTTTATGTATAGGCTTGAATCCATTCAATAAATATTTATTTACTCTATCAAAGTAACTTCACAAAGAAGTTCACAAAACTCATAAACCAAGCAATAAAAAAGAACATTACTAACTTAATGCAGTTACTAAATTACAGTGTGCTCTTCTCCACTGCAGAGCAGCTCTAACACTCAAATAGTCCCCCCACTGTATCAAAAGTGCTCAGGGACTCAACAATGGTAGCAAATGCCTCCAGACATGCCTTTGAGGCTCACGACAGTATGCTTTTTAAAAATCCTTATAAACAGGGTGCCTGGGTGGCTCAGTGGGTTGAGCCGCTGCCTTCGGCTTGGGTTGTGATCCCGGGGTCCTGGGATCAAGTCCCACATTGGACTCTCTGCTTCGGCAGGGAGCCTGCTTCCCCGCCCCCCCCGCCTGCCTCTCTGCCTGCTAGTGCTCTCTGTCAAATAAATTAAAAAATATTTAAAAAAAAAATCCTTATAAACAAAACTGTTAGTGTTTAATTTGTTGCAAAAATATGTAAACAGTCACCAAACTTAGAAGTAATGTTTGAAAAGATCTGATTTCAATATATAGGTTACTTAACAAACCTGTGTGTGGGAAATGCTGGAGGGATCGAAAAAGGGTCAAACTATAATAGGAGCAACCCAAAGAACATATATGACATGCATTAAGACGTCACAGAAAAAGCAAGGAGTGATTTCAAACATAAAAAAGTCACAAAGGCAGGTAAATCAAAAACTTTTCACATTTGCAACTATATGTCCACTATTCCAAAGAGGAATGCAGCAGGGCTTATATACTTAATGATGTAAAGATTCTCCTGGTCATAATCGGAAGCTTCCAGCAATCAGAAGACTAGATAAACCACAAAGACACTTGCAACTCTATGTACAGGCAGACCAGAGAGGCATGTATAATAGTGTTCCTGTACCTTGGGTTTCATAACTATTTCTGAATCATTATCATTCACAAGGGAGCCCTCTGGTTGGAAAGCCACCCTTGGTTTTCTCTTCAGTTTCTCTGATCTTTTTTCTTGCAGCTCTTTCTCAGCTCGCCGTCTTTGTCTGTTAAAAAGAATAAAACATGTTACTATTTTAGTAACAGTTTTTCACTTATATTATGCTATATAGGGTGAGGGTTGTCAAAATTATGGCAATAAAGTATTCTATGGCATATAATTAAATGAGCAAGATCCTTTGGTAGTATTCAAGCAAATAGAAGCAAATGTCAGGGACACATGAAAGTTATTTTTAGTTCCTTTACTAGTGAACTGACTTTTCTGTTAGTCACTGGAATCTCAGGTTAGAATCACACCTGTTAAGTAATTTTCAAATGCTCCTTTCTGCAGACTCTGACCTGACCCCAGAAGCCCTACGGGATGCCTCCAATCACCCTTTTGAAGAAGTTAAGTATACTTAAGTCACCTCAGCAAAATCCCAGCAAGGAGGAAAGAGGGCCCAAAAAGCTAAGGAGAAGACTTATTCTGATGAGGGAATATCTGAAAAAGATGGAAGGAAGGAAACATTTCTGGAAAGAGAGCACTGGTAGTAGACTTTAGGGTCTGTAAATGGGAAATTCTTTTTTTTTTTTTTTAAGATTTTATTTATTTGCCAGGCGCCTGAGTGGCTGAGTGGGTCCTGGGATCCAGCCCCGCATTGGGCTCTCTGCTCAGCAGTAAGCCTGCTTCCCCTGCCCTCTGCCTGCCTCTCTGCCTACTTGTGAACTCTTTCTCTCTATCAAATAAATAAATAAAATCTTAAAAAAAGAAGATTTTATTTATTTGAGAGAGGGAGAGAGAACATGAGAAAGGGAAGGGGCAGAGGGAGAAACAGACCCCCTGCTGAGCAGGAAGCTTGACCTCCCCCTCCCCCTGGGCCAGGGACAGGACTCGATCCCAGGATCCTGGGATCATAAGCTGAGATGAAGGAAGACGCCCAACTGGCTGAGCCGCACAGGTGCCCCTAAATGTGAAATTCTTACACTATTTGCTAAACTCAGTAGTAATCTACCAGTCAATACATCTTTGAATACCCATTATGGGTAAAACACTATAAATCTCTTCATCAGAAGTCACAGCCTTTTCATAGATAGATTTTATGAAGTTGAGGAATGTACCCTCTATCCCTATACTTTGAAGATCATCCTCAATGGGGAAAAACTGACAGCCTTCCCTTTGAGATCAGGAACATGACAAGGATGCCCACTCTCACCACTCTTGTTCAACATAGTGTTAGAAGTCCTAGCAACAGCAATCAGACAACAAAGAGAAATAAAAGGTATTCAGATTGGCAATGAAGAAGTCAAACTCTCTCTCTTCACAGATGACATGATACTTTGTATGGAAAACCCAAAAGACTCCACTCCCAAATGACTAGAACTCATACAGCAATTCAGTAATGTGGCAGGATACAAAATCAATGCACAGAAATCAGTTGCTTTCTTATACAATAACAATGAAAATACAGAAAGGGAAATTAGAGAATCGATTCCATTTACTATAGCACCAAGAGCCGTAAGATACCTGGGAATAAACCTAACCAAAGAGGTAAAGGATCTGTACTTGAGGAATTACAGAACACTCATGAAAGAAATCGAAGAACACAAAAAGATAGAAGACCATTCCATGCTCATGGATCAGAAGAATAAACATGGTTAAAATGTCTATACTACCTAGAGCAATCTATACTTTCAATGCCATTCCGATCAAAATTCTACCAGCATTTTTCAAAGAGCTGGAGCAAACAATCCTAAAATTTGTATGGAATCAGAAGAGACCCTGAATTGTTAAGGAAATGTTGAAAAAGAAAAACAAATGGGACTGAAGGAGATTATGCTGAGTGAAGTAAGTCAAGCAGAGAGAGTCAATTTTCATATGGTTTCACTTATTTGTGGAGCATAAGGAATAACACGGGGGACATGAGGAGATGGAAAGGAGAAGGGAGTTAGGGGAAATCGGAGGGGGAGACAAACCATGAGAGACTGTGGACACTGAAAAACAATCTGAGGGTTTTAGAGGGGTGGGGAGTAGAAGGTTGGGTGAGCCTGGTGGCGGGTATTATGGAGGGCACGTATTGCATGGAGCACTGGGTGTGGTGCATATACAATGAATTCTGGAACACTGAGAAGAAATTTAAAAATAAATAAAAATTAAAAAAAAAAAAAGAAAAACAAAACTGGGGGCATCACGTTGCCTGATTTCAAGCTTTACTACAAAGCTGTGATCACTAACACAGCATGGTACTGGCACAAAAACAGACACATAGACCAGTGGGAACAGAGTAGAGAGCCCAGATATGGACCCTTAACTTTATGGTCAACTAATCTTCAACAAAGCAGGAAAAAATATACAGTGGAAAAAAGACAAGTCTCTTCAATAAATGGTGCTGTGAAAATTGGACAGCTATCTGTAGAAGAATGAAACTCCACCATTCTCTTACATCATACACAAAGATAAACTCAAAATGGATAAAAGACCTCAACATGAGACAGGAATCCATCAGAATCATAGAGGAGAACCTAGGCAGTAACCTCTTCAATATCAGCCACAGCAACTTCTTTCAAGATATGTCTCCAAAGGCAAAGGAAACAAAAGCGATAAAGAACTTTTGGGACTTCATCAAGATCAAAAGCTTCTGCACAGCAAAGGAAACAAGTCAACAAAACAAAGAGGCAACCCACAGAATGGGAGAAGATATTTGCAAATGACAATACAGACAAAAGGCTGATATCCAGGATCTATAAAGAACTTCTCAAACTCAACACACACAAAACAAATAATCATGTCAAAAAAATGGGCAGAAGACATGAACAGACACTTCTCCAATGAAGACATACAAATGGCTATCAGACACATGAAAAAATGTTCATCATCACTAGCCATCAGGGAGATTCAAATTAAAATCACATTGAGATACCACCTTACACCAGTTAGAATGACCAAAATTAGCAAGACAGGAAACAACGTGTGTTGGAGAGAATGTGGAGAAAGAGGAACCCTCCTACACTGTTCATGGGAATGCAAGTTGGTGCAGCCAATTTGGAGAACAGTGTGGAGATTCCTTAAGAAATTAAAATTGGAGCTTCCCTATGACCCTGCAATTGCATTACTGGATATTTACCCCAAAGACATAGATGTAGTGAAAAGAAGGGCCATCTGTACCCCAATGTTCATAGCAGCAATGGCCACAGTTGCCAAACTGTGGAAAGAACCAAGATGCCCTTCAATGGACGAATGGATAAAGAAGATGTGGTCCATATACTATGGAGTACTATGCCTCCATCAGAAAGGATGAATACCCAACTTTTGTATCAACATGGACAGGACTGAAAGAGATTATGCTGAGTGAAATAAGTCAAGCAGAGAGAGTCAATTTTCATATGGTTTCACTTATTTGTGGAGCATAAGGAATAACACGGAGGACATGGGGAGATAGAAGAAGGGAGTTGGGGGAAATTGGAGGGGGAGATGAACCATGAGAGACTGTGGACTCTGAGGAATTAACTGAGGGTTTTGGAGGGGAGATAGGTGGGAAGTTGGATGAGCCTGGTGGTGGGTATTGTGGAGGGCACGTATTGCATAGAGCACTGGGTGTGGTGCATAAACAAGGAATTCTGGTACACTGAAAAAAAATTTTAAAAATAAAAATTTTAAAAAAAGAAAAAGAAGTCACAGCCTTGGGGCGCCGGGTGACTCAGTGGGTTAAGCCTCTGCCTTCGGTTCCAGTCATGATCTCAGGGTCCCAGGATCAAGCTCTGTATCGGGCTCTCTGCTCATCAGGGAGCCTGCTTCCCCCCTCTCTGCCTGCTTCTCTGCCTACTTGTGATTTATCTCTCTCTTTCTGTCAAATAAATAAATAAATAAACCTTAAAAAAAAAAAAAAGTCACAGCCTTGCTTTTTACATGCATGTTTCTTAGTGCGCTGAAACAATTCACAACATTTACTCTCCTGCTTCTTTTGTAAGAATCTAGAGGATATGGTAAGATGAATAACAATATTACTTTAGTGCATTAGGTAGTATATGGACTATTTATTGTATGAGATACCAAATATTTGTCCTACAAAAAGAAAACTGCTTATAATGTTATAGAAAAATGTAAAAGAGAAGTGCCTGGGTGGCCCAGTGGGTTAATAACTCTGCCTTCGGCTCAGGTCATAATCCTGGGATCCTGGGATCGAGCCCCACATCAGGCTCTCTGCTCAGAGGCAAGCCTGCTTCCCTTGCTCTCTCTCTGCTTGCCTCTCTTCCTGCTTATAATCTCTGTCTGTCAAGTAAATAAATAAAATCTTAAAAAAAAAAAAAAAGAAAAATGTAAAAGAATCTTCCAGCCTATGAATTCCAGTGAAGAATTCCTTAATAAAATGTAAAAAATAATATTTCTCCCTCACAGTATAGGAATTTTCCTCATCAGAATGTGTTTATTTTTTTTTTTAAGATTTTATTTTATTTATTTATTTGACAGAAAGAGAGATCACACGTAGGCAGAGCAGCAGGCAGAGATAGAGAGGGTGAAGCAGGCTCCCTGCCAAGCAGGAAGCCCGATGTGGGCCTCAATCCCAGGACGCTGAGATCGTGACGTAAGCTGAAGGCAGAGGCTTCATCCACTGAGCCACCCAGGCGCCCCAGAATGCCCCAGAATATGTGTTTAAATGCATGACACTTGATAAGAAAATTGAATAGCAATTGTGTATAGGCCAGAAGGCTGAACCAGATAACTTTCACCTTTATAACTAGGATATTTTAACTAATTAGACGCTTGCAGGTAAGTGATATTCACAAATAAAATTTCACTTAAAACTTGCCTTTTCTTACTGTCCTTTCCTTGTCTCACTTCAGATGGTTCTATTTTGACATTTAGTAGCTGAAGGTGTCCAGAATCGCCTCGTTCAAATAAATTATGTGTTAGTTTCTCTTGGCTTTGTTTGAATGCAAGGAGGTTTTCAAGGGGAATAAGTTGTGGGTTTTTGTACTGGAAGAAATAAAGCATAATAATTTAAGATTACAAACCTCAATTACATAATATGTTAATAAAAATTGAGAAAAGATTTGTTTAAATTAAATTAAAATGTGCAAGAGATAGAACACGTCAAGATAACAAATTAATTTGGCCCAGTAAGATGAATATCCAAAGCTTGAAGAATAAATGATTTTAGAGGGCTAGAAATGCCAAATGGGTCATCTTATTTCAGAAACTAAGCTAGAAGTCCTAATCTTCTTCTTTTCTATATTAAAAAAAAATCTTCCTTATAATTATAAATAAAATCTATAATTTCTGCCATTTGACTTAAAATTCTTTCAAATAGGAAGGATACAGAGAAGTGGAGATTATGCGTGGAACAGATTAGCAGTACGTTAATAAGTACTGATGTCCGATAATGTAACTTAGGGGTTCATTATACCGTTCTAATAAGAAAATTTCTTTCAAGCCATCTCAAAAAGTCTACTACTTTTCCACACCTTTAATCTTTTCTTTTCTGTTCATAGTATGTTCAGAATAAAAGAAGGCATGATAAGTACTTCCTCTCAAGAATGACCATTTCTTTCCCCCATACCATCTTCAAATCTTAAAATTAAAAGTGTACCACAGCATTAATTATTCAATTACCTTCCTAAGATGGTAATACGGACTTACAAGATTAGAGCCTAAACAATACGAATTTCATAAACCAAAGCTTACAACTTTAAAGAGGATTCTGTGGGTTTATAAAGATTCAATCTTTTTAAGTACTTTAAAAATACACCATTATTTAAATATACACAACTATTTATAGATCTGGGGGTCTATTTAGCAGTTTTAAAGTTTTTTTTTTTTTTAAGATTTTATTTACTATTTGACAAAGATCACAAGTAGGCAGAGAGACAGGCAGAGAGAGAGGAGGAAGCAGGCTCCCCGCTGAGCAGAGAGCCCGATGCGGGGCTCCATCCCAGGGTCCTGGGATCATGACCTGAGCCGAAGGCAGAGGCTTTAACCCACTGAGCCACCCAGGTGCCCCTATTTAGCAGTTTTAAAGTTTAAAAGTTTTAAAGTTTAAAGTTTTAAAGTATAACAGATTTGAAGGCAATCATATCACAGTTACTAGAAACATGCACACTTACACACGCCCCCTCCCTTTCTCTCAACACACACGCACATACCCTGACCCATATGAACAAGAATACTGGTCACTTTGTTTTACTTCTTATTTCTTCTCTGTGCAGAAGAAATACTACCTATGAAAAAGCCTCATAAATTCTAGAATTGCTGTACAAGATAGACCTAAAAGCTTTAATACCTAATTACCATTTTAAACTGAATTTTATGTTATTTCCAATAACAAAAACATTATTCCTATTTATTTTTAATTTTTTAGAAGCATTGTTCTTTAAAAAGAAATGTGTAAGAGCTTTTCATCTCATGTATAGTATTTATGGTATGAAAAATGCAGGACTACTTTTGCATCACTCTGCAAAAATCATTACCATATTTTCTGGGGATAGGCATGAATGAAGTAATGAGTGTCTTGGGTATCTTCTTTCTTCTCCTCCAGTTCTGGTAGGTATTGAGGGAATTGTTCCTGATGCTCTTGAGGCAGAGGAAACTATATAAGGAGGTTTAAGTTGCAGGTGCAATAATGGAAGTCCAAAGGAATTCTGTGGAGATATCTCAAGGGGTCCTGGCTTAATATCAAGTAGTTTTCCTGGTTTTATAAATACTGAAGAGTCCTGTTGAGGTGTCAAGTTTTCTTGTCCAACACACTGATCTAAGTTCACATGCTTAGGGATTTCTGTAAATATAGTTTCTGCCCATTTCTTCTGCTCAACTGCTTTTTTTATGGCTTCAGTATTACAGTGGCTCAAATTCAAATGGGACACTGAAGCTGTGTGCATTGTTCTCTGTGGCAAAGGAGGCTGGAAGGAATCAGATAATCCCCATGCCTCTCTTGGCTGTGGCAGGAGCCTGAAGGGAACTTGTGGAACTCTTCCTGTATGGAAGGAAAGGGACTTAAATTCATGCTTAGGCTGAAACTGAAGCAAAGGAAAACCATCACCAGGTCTGAAACTTTTTGCAGCTGGGATAAGTCTAGGTGTCTTCGGAATGGGAGAAGATGGAGACAGAAGGTAGAAGGGAGTATTTCCAGCAGGAGCTGGAGACAGCGCAGTTGTTGGTAAGATTTGAGATGCCGGAGTTAATCCTGTATTGGGAGGCAGGTCTTCTAACTGACATAAAGGAACACTCTCATGTGGTACATTCTGGAAGAGAAAAAAAAAGCTATTACACAAGTTTATTTATTATTTTTTAAGATTTTATTTATTTACTTGACAGAGGGAAAGATCACAGGTAGGTAGAGAAGCAGGAAGAGAGGGAGAAGCAGGCTCCCTGCTGAGCAGAGAGCCCAACGCGGGGCTTGATCCCAGGACCCACTGATCATGACCTGAGCCAAAGGTGTCCCATAAATTTAGAATATATTACAAACTTCGTATTTTGTACATGATGTTCAATATGTTTTGGAGGTGGTAGAACACAGTAACTGCCAAAAAATTATTTGCTCAAATAACAAAAAGCCAACAACTGAACTACTAGAACAACTTTAATGGTATCTTTAAAATGTATTACCTGTAAATTTCCATTACTATCTTGATCAGACTGCACAATTCCTTTATGGCAATGTGGACTCTTCTTGCCAGGCTCTGCGGTGTACTCTCCCCTGGACTGTGCTTTAATAAAAGAGCTCTCCTTAAAATTTCTACTGGTGTCATCAGCATCGTTACTCCCTCTTGTAGGATTTGATACTTGACTTCCCACCAAAGGCACAGGCTGAGGCTGCTGTAGAAGTTGATGTATATCTGGGAGGTTAGTAAACGGTGATCCTACTATTTGCATTAGGCTCATGAAGTTGATCTGTTGCAGCTAGAATAAAATAAAAATTAAATATTTGAAAGTACAGTGAAAAAATCTAAAGAATCAACAACTATCATCTGAGTATCCCACTAACAGTCATACTTCCGTAATATATGTCAGACCCAGGAAGCAAAGCTGGGAGATATTTTTTTGAAAAAGAAAGAATACCTTCCCTTTTTCAAGGAGCTGTCAACTGGAAATAGAAACTCATAATGAGACTTGGGACTATCTATAAAGCAGTTTATATAAACATCACAGAGATCATAATGGAGTGATCTGATGAAATGTAATGACAATTAAAGAAATCCTAAAATGAGTGTGTTGTGATCAGGTTTTCAGGAAAGAAAAAAAGGAAAGATTGGCAAACAGGTGAAGAGTGAGGAATTCCCCTGGTAATGCTGATGAGGTGAAAGACAAAGGCATTTACCAGTGGTTGACAAACTGGGGCACATTAGAATCACCTGAGAAGCATTTAGAACTCCCCTTGGCCAGAGCACACCCAGACCAATAAAATCAGAATATCTGGGGATGGAAGCCAGGATTAGTATTTTTTTTAAGACGACAGGGTGTTTCAGTGTGTGGAAGAGCATGGGAACCACTAGCATAAACACTGGTTCAGACGGAACAGGAAATTAATACAGCTGTAAAGAGAGAACAGGCGAGTACAGGAGTTTGCAAACTTGAGCATGCAATCAGAATCACCTGGAGGACTTGTGAAAGCACTCTTTGCTGAACCCTATCCCCCGAGTTTCTGATTTTAATAGGTCTGGGATGGGGTCTGAGGATTTACATTTCTAACATCTAAGTGATGCTGATGCTACTGATCCAGAGACCACACTTTGAGAACCACTGGACTTAACGACAGTACGATGGGAAAAGAGGGAATGTAAAAGCTGGTGGTGGGTCTTTCAAACACAACAGAAGAATTTGCACTTAATGAAACATACCAGTTGAGAAACACTGCAGGTTAAAATAAAATGTAAGTTCCCTTTAATTATGAAAAAAAAATGCACAAAAAAGAATGTAAAAACCACTCATTATCTTATCTTCAAAGATAACTAGTACTGAGATTTTTAGTATATTTCCTTTTACTTTGTATTTTGAAAAGAAGACTGATTTCATATTATACAAATTAGTACCTGAAATTTACTGAATATTTTAAAACAGGAAATTGACACTATTAAAAGAGCATCTGAAGAAGAATGTCTTAGGAAATGCATCTATAAGACAGTGGAGGTATGAAGTTCTGACTCTAAAGCTGGCTTAGCTATAGAAATAGCAAGTGCTATAGTGACAGTGTGGGCAGAAGAATCAGGAGGGCACCAAAGAACACTGGATAGAGTGGGGGAAAAGGCAAAGATGTTTCTAAGACAGTGATTCTCAATTCTTTGTGTGCATCAGAATTATTCGGAGAATTTGTTAAAAATACAGGGCAACTACCAGCAAAGTCCCTTGGTAAAAAAAAAAAAAAAAGTTTCAGAAATGCTTCCAAAATTTTAAGCTGGTAGAATAGTTAATGCTACTAAATGGAAAAGGGTAAGAAGGGACTGGGAAAAATCAAGATAAAATCAGTTTCAGTAAGTTTCATGAGACAGTGAGACATGCTGAAAAAGTATTCTCATCAGGGCACTTAGCTGAAAGAGAAAACTAGTGCCAAGCATCAGTATAAAAATGGTATATTATACCACCTAAAAGGATATGAAAGTGACATACATGACATACATGAATGAGGATTAAATTTGAGGGAAATTAATGTTTAAGAAATAAAATAGAAAAGGGAAATAACTTAAAATTGGTGGTGAAGGATAAACAATTGAGAAAAAGATGAAAACATTCAAAGCGAACAGCACTTTATAATGCAGCTGACAATTTCAAACCAAGCCAAAGTTCAGTTTGAAGATAAGAAATATGACGTGACAGATTGTGTTAAAAAACTTTTTGGCTACCTCTGAGCTACAGTCCGCTGATCTGGTTTGACTCAACCCCCTGACTTTCATGAGCAGCTCTGCATCCCAAAGAGATCAGGTGTAAGAAGTCATTTTGAGAAGTAGGTAGCTCAGCCTGGACCCTAGGCCCTTGAGTTAGGAACCTCTGAATAACAAAGGAAGAGTGCCCAAAGCAGAGAAACCAACCCTGCAATTTCATTTCAACTTGGCCATTTCTGAAAGTTTGTTCGTATTTAAAATCCTTACATATATATATCACACATGCAGATTTACTTGTTTCTAGGGAGAGGTGCTTACCTGAACTAATTTAAACATTTCATCTTGGAGCATCTGCCTAACAGAATCCGAAGAATCTGGCAACTGCACCCTGGGTTCATTTCTCTGGGTCTGCTGCAGTGTTGGCACGGGCGTTTGTGAAGCAACACTGACTCCATTTGATATGAAAGGTGGAACTGAGGAAGATTCCTCTTTAAATGCAGAGATCTGTGCACTAGGTGGAAGCACATATATATATAAAATACACTTAATAAAAAATCAAATCAGATATCTACAATTTGAATATTTTTATCTCATCTTTTTCTTCTAAAGGCTTTCTGGAAGTTTTCAGGAAATTTAAACCCTAAAGCCTATCACTCTCTACTCCTTAGCCACCGGACAAATTTGTCATCAGCACAGGGCTCAAGTGAATGCTGTCTTATTAAGGGAGATGTAACCTCTAGTCAGCCACGGTCCTCTCCCTGTGGTGTTACCACCTAGAACAGTTCACACGTTTATCTGACTTGCCTGGTCCCTGCAAGCACCTGACTTTGAGACCTACAACAATATTCTCATGAGTTACACTAGGAGTATTTTTTTTTACTAAACTTAATGATCCAGAATGGAATTAAAACTAGAGAAAGTATGGGTTAAAAAATTTTTTAAATTAAGATGGGTAGCGTGAACTCCTGTTGATCGTCATTAAATGTGAAACAATAGTATTATGAACATTTCTTTTCTGAACTAATCACAAAGTTTATATCTTTAATTAAGCCCTAACAAAAAATGTCTATATAGGAATAAAAATTAAAGATCAAAATAAGTTTTTGGTCTTTTTAAATAAGATGATTGTTTGGAGATGACACAGCAGATATTCAAATATTTTCAAAGCAAACTGACTTCACAAACTAAGGGAGCAGCCATTACTATATCCAAACAAATTGATCACTGTCTCTAAAAAGAAAAGAATGTATTAAATCACATTTAGATTATTTGGCTTTATATTCATTCTGTTTCAGCAGTAATATTTGCCATCTAATACTAATAAGCTCAGTAACAAAACTCATGGCAAATCCATGAAAAACAGGCATTACAACTGACTTGCCTATTTTTTTTGAAAAAAGATTTTATTTATTTATTTGAGAGTGAGTGAGCGCAAAAGCAAGGGAGGGGTAGAGAGAGGGGGAGAAGCAGACTCCCTGCTGTGCAAGGAGTCCAGTGTGGGCTAGATCCCAGGACCCTGAGATCATGACCTGAGCCAAAGGCAGTTGCTTAACCTACTGAGCCAACGAGCCACCATTTCCCCCTTGACGTGCCTATTTTAAGACAACTATTGGCCTTTGTTTCCAACAAGTAGCAATGAGATAAATTATAATAAAGTAAAGTAAGGCTATGCTATGTTATTCTATTTCAGCAAGATTTCTAAATACTAAACACCCTGTTCAGTCTCTGTCAAAGAAGTTCAAAAGAACTGGATGAATCTGTTCTATAAGAGAATTAAAAGCATTTCATACACTATTAGAAATCTGTTAGAGGACTAAAATAAGGAACTTTCTAATATATTCACTACAGTTGACTCTTGAAAAACAAGAGGGTTGGGGGTTTAATCCTCGTACAGTCAAAAATCCACATATAACTTGACTCCTTAAAAACTTAATTACTGGGGTGCCTGGATGGCTCAGTGGGTTAAGGCCTTAGGCTCAGACCATGATCTCAGTGTCCTGGGACTGAGCCCCACATGGGGCTCTCTGCTCAGCAGGGAGCCTGCTTCCTCCTCTCTCTCTGCCTGCCTCTCTGCCTACTTGTGATCTCTGTCTGTCAAATAAATAAATAAATAAAATCTTAAAAAAAAAAAACTTAATTACTCATAGCCTACTGATGACCAGAAACCCTATTATAACATAAATGTCAATTAACATATTTTGTTATGTGTTGCATACTATATTCTTACAATAAAGTAAGCTAGAGAAAGGAAAATGTTACTAAGAGTCATAAGGAAAAAATACATTTACAGTACCAAACTGTTGTTATCAAAAAAAATTTTGTATGTAAGGGGACCCAAGTAACTCAAAACTATATTGTCCAAGGCTCAACTACACTTTTTTTCAAAAAGACTATTCTAGACCAGTTCCTGTATATCTAAAGCACAGCTGCTATAGGAAAATCTTCCAATAATAAAGGTGTCAGAAATGTGTACCTACATTGCTCTTTCAATGCTTCGTGTTGCTTTCATTTTGCTCTTAGTTTTTAGTCAAAACATTTTGAATTATTTCAAAATGGCACAATAGGCATCATTTCATTCTCTTATCTACTTATAAAATATGATTATATCAAAACTAGAGTACACAAAAATACTTACCTAGAAATTTCTGAACTTGAATCTACACAAAATGAATAAGGAACAGTGTATTCAGGATTTGAAAAGGCTTCGATCATACTATAATTAAAGACTGATAACTGATTAGGAAGTATTCTTCACATTTCCTAAGGTACAGGTGATCTAATGCTCAGCCACGTAAGAGTCTAAACATTCTCTAATCCTCTACAATGCTTTGCTCATAATTACAATCTGTTTATATTTGTCTCCATAGCAATTAGTAACAGATTCAAACAAACAGCAAAGAATACATCTGAATAACTGAACATATAACTTGAACACTGTTGACTGCCCAGCAGAAATAAAAGAATCTAAAATGGGGAAGTGAGGTTAGCAGTGACCTCAAATTCCACCTATGGCAGAAACAGACACTTTGCTCAGAAACACTATAGAGAGCCCTTATTACATTAAAAACCGTAAAGGCTAGCTTTTTAATAGAAATATCTATTTGTAAAGGCACATCGCATTTAAAATATTCTTTTGTTAACTGTCCGAAGAAATGAACAAAATTTGTATATTAAGAAGAGGAAGAAAATCTAATGATGGTGCTTCTCTTATCTAAGTTAGTTCTAAAATTCTAAAACTTCAAAAAAAATTCTAAAAATTAAGAAATCATGTCCCACCTGCAACAGATTAAAACTGCTTTTGGATCTCCTTGAAGCAATAATATGCTAGCCAGTAGAACAGCCCTATGGTGTGCAGTAATCATATCGTAACAGTGAACAAAATTACACATACAATTGTGATTCATAATGGTTCTTTATTTGATCCAAGAAAAATGGAATCAGTTTGACAAGGTGTTTCCCTAATTAGCAGCTGAATAAACTCTGGTCTATTTACAGCTGTATTTTACTTTGATAAGGCTGATAGTGATGGGAGAACAAAAGGCATTTGAAATATCATTACTTCTTTCATTCTACCAAGATTAAGACATCTATAACATTTACTAAAGATTATCATTTACCATTGCTATAAAGTTAAATTTCACTAGGAATACAAATCACCATAAAACATATATTATAAATTATAAGAAAAATAACCTCTTCATCAAATGAATCCCAGATGGCAGTAACAATCACTTCCTTATTTTTTTCCCCCTTACCATTTATGTTCAGTTGATTTTTTCTCCATACATGACTCCAATGGTTCTTCCCTTGGACACTGAACCTCTCCCATGGAATGCTGTTAAAATTAATAGTACCAAAAAAGAAAAGGGGTCATATAAATAGGTATTATTGTCTTAGGTGTCCTGAGTTTCACATTAGCCACTCAGAGTAAAAAGAGTCTAAAAGCAAGTGAAAAACCAAGCATTAAATGAATTCCCAGTGCTGCTCTGATCAGATTTTTAACTGTGTGAATTGCCTTTGGCCTGTCACCCTGAGCAACTGAGCATATAAAAATACAAAGACAAATGATGTCAGTGGAAATTATTTACCTTATATTCAAAAATAACCTGTAAATTACATATACCCATCATTACCTGATTAATAAGTACATTCTGAAAACAACTATAGACAAGAAAAACTAATCCCTTTTGAAGGAATTTTTTCAATAATTAGAAATGTCCGTGTTCCAACAGAAAATGCACTATAGTTTTGAAAACACAAATAGTGCATTAAAGTGATAGATGTACAAAAACTATACTACAGCTAAATTAAACATTTTGCATATAGAACACTTCTAATATTTTGATTAAGTTAATTCACTATAGCAGTTTATGAAATAAAAATTTCATTGCCTGAAATCATTAGACATCTTAGTAATGATAGAATTTCAGTGAAAGAAAAATGCTGCATGGCCTGGATATTCTCTACAACCCACAGCACATTTTTAAAAAGATAACAGCCTTGGCTGGATGATTAAATAAAAACACTCAAGTATAATTTAAATAACATTATCCACTACTTATTGACTTACTTCTTCTAAATGCTGTGGTAAAGTCTGCACGTTAACAGCAATACTGGAACTTTTAAGACTTCCAACAGGCTCTTTGGTACCTTCTATAGGGAAACAAGGAGAAAGAGAACAGTGACAATTTGAAAAAAATCAGTTTAGGGGCACCTGGGTGGCTCAGTTGGTTAAGCGTCTGCCTTCAGCTCAGGTCATGATCCCAGGATCCTGGCATCAAGTCCCTCATCAGGCTCCTTGCAAAGTGGGGGGAAGTCTGCTTCTCCCTCCTTCTCTCTACCCTTCCCTGACGTTCATGTTCTCTCCATCTCTCTCTCTCTACCTCTCTCTTTCTCAAATAAATAAATAAAAGCTTTAAAAAAAAGGAAAGAAAAAAAAATCAGTTTACTTTTTAGAAGGGTCAGGAATATTACAGGAAACAAGTATAATGGCAGAAATATTTTCTATCCTTCTTATAAAAAGTTTTTAAATTAGGGGCGCCTGGGTGGCTCAGTGGGTTGAAGCCTCTGCCTTCGGCTCAGGTCATGATCTCAGGTCCTGGGATCGAGCCCCGCATTGGGCTCTCTGCTCAGCAGGAAGCCTGCTTCCTCCTCTCTCTCTGCCTGTCTCTGCCTACTTGTGATCTCTCTCTCTGTCAAATAAATAAATTAAAAAAAAATCTTTAAAAAAAAAAGTTTTTAAATTAAATTCAATTAATTAACATATAGTGTATTATTAGTTTCAGAGGTAGAGGTCAGTGATTCATCAGTCTTTTATTTTTTTTTTAAGATTTTATTTATTTATTTGACAGAGACACAGAGAGAGGGAACACAAGCAGGAGAGTGGGAGAGGAAGAAGCAGGCTTCCTGCTAAGCAGGGAGCCCGATGTGGGGCTCGATTCCAGGATCCTGAGATCATGACCCGAGCTGAAGGCAGACACTTAATAACTGAGCCACCCAGGCGCCCCTCATCAGTCTTATATAATACCCAGTGTTCATTATATCACATGCCATCCTTAAAGTCCATCACCCAGTTACCCTCCTTCCCCCCAACCCCACCAGCAAACCTGTTTGTCTCCTGTGATTGAGGGACTCTTATGGCTTGTCTCCCTCTCTATTTCATCTTGTTTTATTTCCCCCCCTTACCCCCCATGATCCTGTTTTGTTTCTTAAATTCCACATATGAGTGAGATCATATGGTAATTGTCTCTCTCTGATCAACTTATTTCACTCAGCACAATACCCTTCAGTTCCATCCACATCAGTGTAAATGGTTAAGTATTCATCCTTTCTGATGGCTGAGTAATATTCCATTGTGTGTGTGTGTGTGTGTGTGTGTGTGTGTGTGTGTGTGTACCATATCTTCTTTATCCATTCATCTGTTGATGGACATCTGGGCTCTTTCCATAGTTTGGTCATTGTGTACATTGCTGCTATAAACATTGGAGGGCGGGTGCCCCTTCAGATCACTACAATTGTATCTTAGGGCTAAATACCTAGTAGTGCAATTGCTGGGTCGAAGGTAGCTCTATTTTCAACTTTTTGAGGAACTTCAATACTCTTTTCCAGAGTGGCTATACAACAGACTGCATTCCTACCAACAGTAAAAGAGGGTTCTGCTTTCTCTGCATCCTTGCCAACACTGTTACTTCCTGACCTGTTAATTTTAGCCATTCTGATTGGTGTGAGGTAGTCTCTCATTGTGGTTTTGATTTGTATTTCCCTGATGCCAAATGATATTGAGCACTGATAGAATGGGAAAAGATATTTGCAAATATCTTTACAGATAAAGGGCTAACATCCAAAATCTTTGAAGAACTTATCAAACTCAACACCCAAAGAACAAATAATCCAATCAAGAAAAGGGCAGAAGACATGAACAGACATTTCTCTGAAGAAGACATACAAATGGTCAACAGACATATAAAAATGTTTTTTAAAAAACAACAGGAGATAACCCCTCTTCATTAAGTGAATCCCAGATAAGACTTGAGTGACCTCATGTCAGTGTGTTTAACTCCAATCAAAGCTCTGAAGGTTTCTGTTTTATCAAAGACTGCCAAGGAAAGTTTCACAGAATTGGTTCACAAAAATGAAGAGGCCCATGATAGTTAGATAACCAAGGCAAAAGAATTGTAAATTCAGGTTATGAGTTAATGCACTCAACATTTCATAAATATTGCACTTTTTTAAAAAATATTTATTTTATTCAGGGAGGGGCAGAGGGAAAGGGTCACAGAGAATCTCGAGCAGACTGCTCATCAAGCATAGAGCCTGCCAATGGCCCTGAGGTTACAAACTGAGCCAACACCAAGAGTTGGATGCTTAACCAACTGAGCCACACAGGCACCAAGAGGTCTCTTTTAACTTTTGGATTTAGGTAATTGTAAACATCCTAATTTAAATATAAGACTAAATTATCTCAGATAGTCATTCCCCAACTTAAAATTGGTAAAAGTCAAATAAAAAGATTAGCCAAATGAACTGACCTTCATAGTCTGATAGGTGTATTTCCATTTCCTCTTGGCTAAATGTTTTTACTTCTAAAAGATCCTCACCAATATCTATAAGTTCTTTTTCAGTATCATCAGTAACAGAAATAATCTCATCTTTGGTTTCTTTTACTTCAGGATTATATGCTTCGGTTGGCATTCTACTGACAAAAATAAAGCAGCTAAAACCCTAAGTCATTCTTAGAAACAAAAAAGCTTGCTTTCAATTGATTCCATTTACTGAAAAGGAACATTAGGTTTCATATTTATAGTGTTCTGTTTTTTAACTATGTGTGGTACATAGTAGAAGCTCAATAAAACATTGTTCAACGAATGACTAAACATCCCCATTTTTATTTACTCAAATAACTGGAATAATTTCAATCTATGAAATCTGCCATTCTCACAAAGGAATCGCCCTGCTATTAAAGGTTTAATCTCGTTATTTAAAGATATATTGCTTCATATGTAAAATGGATGAAATGATTAGCTCAACTTCCTCTGACACAGGAAATTAACATAATAAGAGAGGATCTCTCAGAATGAGAATTAGCTCCTCTCTCAGAAGATATAAACTAGACCAACAGGGAAAAAAAATATTTTGCAATGAATTGTTAAAGCACTACAGAAAGTACTCTCTTCCTCCTTCTCCACAGCTCCAAGAAATGTTCATTTCTTTATCTTTCAAGGGTTTGATTATTGCCATTAAGCCCAAACACCATCAAACGATATCATCCACTGAAAAGGAATGTATAATCAAAAACTTACTTCAAGATACTTTGACGAGATTCATTTTGATCATTTCTTTCCTCAGTCCAATCTTGAGTGGCTACTGTGACAGAACAGCCAGCATCTGTTTTGCAATCACTCTCTATGCTGGGTACATTCTGAGACTGAGAGTAATGATTCTCTAGCACCTAAAAACAAACCATTTCCATTAGTTAGCATTCACAATCAAATCCCCTACTTTTTTTTTTTTTTTTTTTTTTAAGATTTTATTTATTTATTTGACAGAGAGAGAGATCATAATTGGGCAGAGAAGCTAGCAGAGAGAAAGGGGAGAGCCCAATGCGGGCTTGATCTCAGGACCCTGAGATCATGACCCCAGCTGAAGGCAGAGACTTAACCCACTGAGCCACCTAGGAGCCCCTGAGTCCCCTACTTTTCATTATATTTTTAGATTATTCATATTTTCTACAGACCTACTCCCAATTAAATCTTTGATTCATTTATCAAGTATTTACTGCATTTCTACAACTCAGTATTTAATGGTGAGGCAATGATCAAGTCTTTATTTCACCTGGAAAAAGCAAATCTGACTACCTAAATAGTATTGGAAAGAAACCAGTTTCACAAATTTGTAAGGGGGGGTGCCTGGGTGGCTCAGTCTTGCTTAAGCATCTGACTCGATTTTGGCTCATGTCATGCGTGATCTCAGGGTCCTGGAATTGAGCCCTGCGTTGGGCTTTGTGCTCAGCATGGAATATGCTTGTCCTTCTCCCTCAGCTCTTCCCCCTGTGCACACCTGCTCTCTCAAATAAAAAATAAATAAAATCTTTAAAAAACATAAAAATAAATTAAAAAACCCCAAATTTGTAAGGTATGTCACCATTTTCAAGTCACAAAACAATAACAATAAAAATGTAAAGTTGCTTTTCCTTAACTCTTTTGGCTATTATAAAGGCACGTACTAATTATTCCAATATGACACAGTGGGTAAACATATATACAGGCAAAAATATAGGCAGCTAAAAATCTAAATCTCTTCTAAATCTCTTATTTAGAAATTTAGATATGTAACACCTAGAAACACAAATTTCCGTGACAACAAATATCATAGTATCTTAAATAAAATACCTTAAGGATAACAGACACCAATCTCAAAAAATGAAAAAGATCTCACAAAAACAAAATACACACACATCCCCTACAACCTAGAATAATTTTTTTAGAATTTAGAATTTTTTTTTACTTTTTTACTTTAATTTTAATTTTTTAATTTTTTAAAAGTAATCTCTTTATACCCAACATGGGGCTTGAACTCACAAACTCAAGACCAAGAGTCACATGCTCCACTGACCCAACCAGGCACCCCAGAATGAAGGCACTTCAAAATAGAACAAATGTGGTTCTTTCTCTCTCTCTTTCTCTCCCCACAAAAGAAAACAAGAAAATAAAATGAAATAAGACAAATACAAAATTAGAATGAGTGGAGTTAAGTCAACCAAGATGGTGACATAGGAGGTTCCTGAATTCCCCTCCTCCCACGGACACACTGAATGTACAACTACACAAAGCAATTAATGCTGAAAGAAATCTAGTCACTAGCTGATGGATTCCTATATATCAAACAAATGAGAAAATATCCGCACAGAGATACATAGGAAACAATGAGACACACTCACCATAAACTCTACTGTAGCACAGTACCCTATAAGCAGGAGGGAACTCCCAACCTCACTCTGAGGAGTGAGGTTCAGACTCCACACTGAGCACTCTAACTTATAAGATGCCCACTTGAGGGAGGGCCTCCAAAACACGGAGCTCTGAAAGCCAGTGAGGGTTGCATCCATAAGTCCCACAGGACCATAACAAACAAAGCAGCGTCTATTAACATGTGCATGAGCACTCATTGCGGCTATCCCCAAAAGGCTCAGGTGAAAACACCCATCTCCCAGTCTTCCCCTGGAAGGAATCCAGCTGCATACTTCTAGGGGCTAACTATGATACCAAGGAGACTGGGATGCTGATGAACAATTCCCCTGCTTTCTCTTTCTAGTCCATTTCAAGTCACCAGTATCTCCCTGCAAGCAGCTTGTACACACATTTGGGTGCCCCAGCTTTTGCAGCTGCTGCCTGAAGGAAAGGTCCCCAGATCACCTGTCTCTGACAACCAACTGAACTTGCATTTATGAGTCCCAAAGGAATGTAACAAAGAAAGAAGAACCCCTGTAGCTATTTACCTGGGCCTCACAGAGAGTGAGCAAAAACACCCATCTTCCAGTTTCTCTTACCTACATATTTTGCCACATGCTGCCTGAGAGTGCAATTTCTAGTCACTGTGTATCTACATGCTATATGTGACCCACACCTTTGGGACACTGATAGGTCTTGGTTACCCCCAATTACTGGGAACCACTAAGAACAAAGAAGAAGACTTAGACCATCACAAAGATTTCAGAGCCAAACAAAAGCTCAGGTGAAGCTAATTGATGAGGTTTATCTCCTACATGAGACCACTCTATCCAACCTGGGAGGTGTGACTGTTTTATCTAATGCACAGAAACCAACATAGAATGTCAAGTAAAATCAAGAAACAGGAATATGTTCCAAACAAATGAACAAGATAAACCTCTAGAAACAGATCTTAATGAAATGGAAATAATGATATATCCTGAGAGATTCAAAATCATGGTCACAGAGGTCAGGGAATGAACAAAGTGAAAATTTAAGTGATGTATGAAAAAAGAGAATTTCAATAAAGAGAAAATACAAAAAGTAACAAACAGAAATTACAGAGCTAAAGAATATAATTAAACTGAAAAATTCAATGGAGAGGTTTAAAGGCAGATTGGATCAAGTGGAAGAAAGGATCAAAAAACTCAAAGACCGGGCAGTGGAATTCATCCAATCAGAGGAGGAAAAAGAAAAAAAATTTAAAAGAATGAACATAAGGGACTTATGGGATAGTAGCCCCAGAGGGAGGGGAAAGAGAAAGGAGCAGAAAGCTTATTCCAAGAAATAATAACTGAAAACTTCTCAAATCTGAGGAAAGAGACATTGAGATCCAGGAAGCCCAGAGAGTTCTAAATAATATAAATTCAAAGAGACCTACACTGAGGCACCATGGGGCTTAATCCCATGACCCTGAGCTCATGACCTGAGCCTAAATCAAGAGTCAGACACTCAACTGATGAGCCACCTAGGCGCCCCTATTTTTTTTTTTTATTAATCATGTCTTTTCTTAAGTTTTATTAAATTCTAGTTAGTTAACATTCAGCATAATACTGGTTTCAGGAGTAGAATTTAGTGATTCATCATCTACATACAATGCCCAGTGTTCATCACAAGTGCCCTCCTTAATACCCATCATGCATTTAACTCATCTCCTGTCCACTTCCCCTCCAGCAACCCACAGTTTGTTCTCTATAGTTAAGAGTGTCTTATGGTTTGTCTCCCTCTCTTTTTTTCCCCTTCCCCTATCTGTTTTGTTTCTTAAATTTCATGTATGAGTTAAATCACATGGTATTTGTCTTTCTCTAACTGACTTACTTTGCTTAACATAATACGCTCTAGCTCTGATCCATGTCATTGCAAATTCAAGATTTCATTCTTTTTTATGGCTGAGTCCTATCCCATTGTATATATATTCCACATCTTCTTTTTTAGGTTTTATTTATTTATTTGACAGACAGAGATCACAAGTTGGCAGAGAGGCAAGCAGAGAGAGAAGAGGAAGCAGGCTCCCCGCCTGGGCAGAAAGCCCAATGCGGGGCTCAATCCCAGGATCCCGGGACCACAATCCAAGCAGAAGGCAGAGGCTTTAACCACTGAGCCACCTAGGCGCCCCCCACATCTTCTTTATCCAGTCATTAGTCAATGAACATTTGGGCTCTTTCCATAATTTGGCTATTGTTGATAATGATGCTATAAACATCAGGGTGCATGTGCCCTTTGAATCAGTATATTTGTATCCTTTAGACAAATTCCTAGTAGTACAGTTGCTGGGTTGTTGGACAGCTTTATTTTTAACTTTTCGACGAACCTCCCTACTGTTCTCCAGAGTGCTGCAACAGCTTGCATTCACATGAATAGTGTAAAAGGGTTCCCTCCTCTGCATCCTTACCAACATCTGTTGTTTCCTGTGCTAATTTTAGCCATTCTGACAGGTATGAGGTAGTATTTCATCATGGTTTTCATTTGTATTTCCCCAATGATAAGTGATGTTGAACATTTTTTCACGTGTCTGTTAGCCATCTAGATGTCTTCTTTGGAAAAATGTCTGTTCATGCCTTCTGCCCATTTCTTGATTGGATTATCTGTTCTTTGTGTGTTGACTTTGATACGTTCTTTATATACTCTGGATATTAACCCTTCATCAGCTATGTCATTTGCATATATGTTCTCCCATTCAGCAGGTTGCCTTTTAGTTTTGTTGGTGGTTTCCTTTGCTGTGCAGAAGGTTTTTATCTTGATGAAGTCCCAATAGTTCATTTTTGCCTTTGTTTCCCTTGCTTCCAAAAATGTGTCTAGTAGAAGCTGCTGCAGCTGAGGTCAAAGAGGGTGCTGCCTATGTTCTTCTCTAAAATTTTGATGGATACCTGTCTCACATTTTGGTCTTTCATCCATTTTTGAATTTACTTATTGTTTTGTATGGTGTAAGAAAGTGGTCCAGTTTCATTCGTCTGCATGTAGCTGCCCAGTTTTCCCAACTATTTGTTGAAAAGACTATCTTTTCTTCCATTGGATATTCTTTCCTTCTTTGTTGAAGATTAGTTGACCATATAATTGTGGGCCCATTTCTGGGCTTTCTATTCTGTTCCATTGATCTATGCATCTGTTTCTGTGTCAGTACCATACTGTCTTGATTAGAGCTTTGTTATATAGCTTGAAATCTAAAATTGTGGTGACTCCAGCTTTCAAGATTGCTTGGGCTACCCACAGTCTTTTGTGGTTCCATACAAATTTTAGAATTCTTTGTTCTAGCTCTGTGGAAAAATGCTGTTGGTATTTTAATAGGGATTTCATCAAATGTATAGATTGCTATGAGTAATACAGACATTTTAACAATATTTGTTCTTCCAATCCATAAGTATGGAATGTTTTTCCATTTCTTTGTGTCATCTTCAATTTCTTTCATAGGTATTCTATGGTCTTCAGAGTATAGATCTTTTTACCTCTTTGGCTAGGTTTCTTC